AATCATATCAACAAATATTTCTTCTTAGTCATATAAGATTTCATATGTAGATTCTAGGAAGTAGGATGTAGAAATAATTTGGGGGAACATTTTCACTTTCCCACTGGCAAAAAGATTCTTTCTTATGTAATTTTATTAATGTTATATTGTTCCAGCAGGAATAACTAGTAAAACTGAATACAATTCAAAGCAGTAGATCTTAATTTTTTTGAAAGGTCAGTAGTAAAGTTTCAGTTGAATTAAAAAGTGAGATTTAAAAGATTCAGTTTAAAAGTGAGATTTAAAAGATTCAGTTTAAATTAAGCTATTTAAAATTTTTGTTAATTATAAATTTTATCTGCATTTTAAAATAAAAAAATTAATATTATTTATTAACATTAAACACATATTCATTTCTTCAGAATACAGGTTATTGGTAGAATAATCTGATTTTTCTCTTGAATATCACTAATTTTCCTACTTCATTATGCACTTTCTCTAACAATTCTTTTATTTACATTTTTATTCTGATTGTCTAAATATTCCTTAAGAATACATTATAATATGTATGTATATGTAAACGTTTCTGTCTTTTTTTTTTCCCTTCTTATATGTGAATGTGTGCACACTTTTGTGTGTATGTGTGTGTGTGGTGTTTACTTGGTGGTTTGTATCTGTGGATTCCATCTATGGATTCAACCAAACTCATATTGAAAATATGTAGGGAAAAAATGTGTCTGTACTTCACATGTACTGATATTTTTTGTTATTCCCTAAAAAATATTGTTCAATAGCTGTCTACATAATGTTTACATTGTTTTAGGTATTAATGAGTAATCTACAGATGACTTAATGTGTGTGGGACAATGTGTGTAGGTTTTAATGCAAATACTATGTCATTTTATATAAGGGTCTTGAGCTTATTTAGACTTTGGTAACTAAGCTGACAGTAGTCCTAGGATGAGTCCCACACAGATACAGAGGAATGACTATGTATATATTGTTGAAAATATACATACACACACATCAGTATTTCTGTACATATGTGTGTGTATGTGTGTATATATGTGTATACATTTTTTTCTGTGCATATATATAAATATATACACAAACACATGTCTAGAAATACTGATACTCAGCATTGCACTCTGGTTTGGTTGTATTCATTATTGGAATAAACATAGTTTTGATATTATTGGTAAATAGTCATTGCCCAGGGCCTTGATAGTATCACACCTACCACCTTCTTGTTTCTTCTAGATCTCTGCATAAGCCAACTACTAAAGGGTTAACAACTGGCAAATTATGGGGCCTGCACTCTGTGACCATTATCTCATCTGGTTGGTGAAGACATATATATGCTGTGTTTATGAGTATATGTATATCAAAACATGTATTTTTTAAATGTTTACATTTTTTTTCAGTTATAACTTTTAATAATAAAAAGGAAGTACATTTTGTTACATGAATTAGAAATGCCTTTGTTTGACCTGTACACTATCTAATAGTTGTTTTAGTCAATATCTTTTTCTTTTCACTGTACTTGATGCATTTCTTTTTCCAAGAAAGATTCTCCTCATAGCATAAGGAGATCTTTCACAGTATTATTTTTAATTACTACATTCCTTTACAGTGATTGGATAGAATTTTTAAAGTTTTATTTTGTTAAAAACTTTCAGTGTACTTAAGGTATACAAGATACACAATTTGAATAGCATAGCTGGGCAATTGTGATTATGTAATTCATATATTTTCAGTCTTTAATACAACATACTTTTAGATTCTAGGAACTGTACAAGTGAAATGGAGTGATAATATAGAAACTTATATCTGAACAACAAAAATTAGTAAAGATCCCCTAACGTTTGTGCATTAGGAAAATGTAATATATTTATTTTCATAACTTGGAAGAATTATTTTGTAACTTACAATATGATTCAATAGTACATTCTTAACAATTATATATTATCCAATTATTTAGTTTTTATCAAAAATTAATGGATTAATAGACAAGGGTGTAATTCTTTGGGCATATCCTGATTATTTCCACTGGGAAGTTCCATAATTAGAATTGCCGTACCATTCGAATTACTTTCTTTGAGCTTTTGATGCTTATTGCTAAATTGCTACTCAAAGATTTTATGCTACTTTATACTCACTAGCAGTGAACAAGATTTTCCATTTGATAGTATCAAGTGAACTCTTCTACCTATCAGTACTGTACTTATTTATTACTGTTGAAAGATAAATTTGCTATACATTGTACGTTGATATTTTGATGTTGTGAATTCAATGGTGCAAAATCTTGTTATCTAAATATCTTTGCATCTGGAATTTAAACATTGGAACATAACAAAAATCCAAGACATTCTGTCTCCTTTCCCCAAAAAGGCTTCATAAGCAAAGTTAAGTTCAAAAAATCATATAATTTTACTCATATGTATATATTTTCTCATTGTAATGTTTTAAAAATCAGATTTATTTACTATATGTCTCTAATTTGATTGTCTCAATAATTTAGGAAGAGAAAATTAAAAGCAAAGTGAGTTGTCCTATAGACAACTGTTTCAGGAAAGTTCAAAGTACTATAACAAACTTCCAAAATTCAGGAGCTTAAAGAATAGATAAACTATGTGATGTTCACAAAGTTTTTCACATATAGTAGAAAGATTTTTCATATATATCATTTGGTTATAATTTTATTTCTAAGAAAGGAGGAAGAAATTGGAAAATGAAAATTCTTTATCCTAACAAGCAATCCTGTTAACTGTTTGAGAAGGAAGAGAAAGAACTTTTGGAAATAAACATATTGAAATAATTCAGTAGATGAGCAAATAATCCTTTGTCAGATGTGCAATTTGGTTTTTCCCTACCTACAAATTTAGAAGTTTTTCTGTTACCATTTGATACAGTCTGGCAAAAAACATGGAACTCTCATGTCAATGACAAATGATTACATTACAGTAAGCAGCATAAGCATCATGTTTGTATTGGTTCCCTTTGTCTTCCAAGCCTCTTAGGGATAACACTGTAGGGTAAGATGGCTACTACTTACACAGTGGGTTTGTGTCATAGTTGGGGAATGTTGAGCTTTGAGAAACCATTATTTTTATAGCAAGCAGTACAAAAGCCTACTCTGTATATTTGAGAAAGACATTATTCCTCAGGATTGCCAGCTACAAACACAATCCTAAAAAATGGTCTCTGAATGGTATGAATATACTTTGTATACAACCAGAGATATGAAAAATCATGCTCTATATGTGTAATATGAATTCTAATGCATTCTGCTGTCATATATAACAAATTAGAATAATAAAAAAAAATGATCCCCAGTAAATATTGCTAGGGACTTGATTCTTGGCATACCCAGCAATAAGTGTAGGAGGGTTAGAGGATAATGGAGAGACTGTTGCTTCCAGCACTAATCATCGGTAACATCTGAAGACATCTGTGTGTATTGCAACATAAAAGAATTAATGTTCTAAAGGATGTGGAGTCATATTCAGGGTGTATAAGTTCTTAAAGTTTGAAGTATTCTATCTTCAGCAGACATCTTCAAAAATGATTATGCATTTATGATCTCTGCCTTTAGATTGGTTGTAGACCTATTTATAAAATAGAAGGATTGATTATGCAGATTTATAGTATTTTGTTTTATCATGGTCTGAGTTTGTGAGTGAGTACCTTTTTTTAAACATGCTGAAGGGACATATCATTTGGGTTAAAATACTCCTGAAGTGAATTGGTTCTACTGATTCATGCTTTTGTGATGATGAATAGTAGCAACACAACTGGCTTTAATCAGCATTTGTGAGTAGAAGGCATAATGAAGAGGGAGAAAGAATTTCGTGCTCTTCACCACTAACCCACCTGCTCTGGCATAAACCATGACTCATTCTTTTTGGCCTCTGAAGGAAGTGCTATGGAAGTCTGTTCAGAGCAAGTAATGATCAAGAGCTCTGTGTTCAGCTTTTGGCCCTGCTGCTTGATGATTTGGGGACTTCTGGCAATTCACTTAATCTCACTTAATATTTGGGTCATAAAGTTTTTCCAGAATCAAGTGAGACATGAATGTGAAAGTCCTTTCTAAATTATAAAAGCATTATACAAATATTTAATTTCCAAGAATATGAATACTTGAGCTTTTCTCTATTAAAGGAGACAGACTGGAGTATATGTTCTCTTTCAAAGCTAAGATCATAATACAGTTTCTAATCTGAATATTTCTTGATCATACTCTGCTTTTAGAAAGTTTAATAAAAATATGACTTTGTGAAATAGCTACAATTTCAGTCACTCAAAAGTTCCATTTACATGACTGGATAAATTCAAAGTCCTTTATTCACTACTAACTCTAAAATGTTGGATTCAGCAAAACTGTATTTTATTTCATTATTTTTTATTATTGAAAACACCAATGATAACCATATGCAAATATGAGCATGGATGTCCATGGCAAAAGTATTTGGTTTTATATGGTGAGGTATACTTGGTAAAAGAAGTTGAGAATGATTAGAAATTGTGTATTTGTGTGTGTGTGTGTGTGTGTGTGTGTGTGTGTGTATTCAAACCTTTCTTCTTTAGATTCATGAAAATGTTATCATTAATTCCTATGAAGAGGAAAAGAAAGTGATAATATAACTTACTTATCCCTTTTTATAGAAAATACTACTACTACTACCTTTGGTTGGTTGACTTACTTACAGCAGTTTCCAAATAATCTTCTTATCTTTTTAATATCCACTGTACATTTAATTATCCACTCTACTGGGTGGTTTGCAATCAAGGAAATTGCCAGAGAATCATAAAATATCTAGGCTATAAATGAGTCGAAGAATCAAATACTAATAGCAGATGAAGAAAGCAATGCACATAGAATTTAAATGTGTTCTCTAAGCATGCACATTTGAATGGTGGTCTAGAATTTTTAGCATGTTTTTCCTTTCCTACTTGAAAGAGAGTATTATTTTAGAGTTTTGAGTGTGTTTTAAAGCAATAACATCTCATTATCTTTTTAGGTAGTTATTACTAGCAAGAATGGAGAGATCTTGTATCGTATTTCACCATGGGCAAAGTATGTGGCTCGTGAAGGTGGTAATGTGAATTATGATTGGATATGCTGGGATCCAGAACATCCATATAAAGTAAGAACAACAAATCTTTAAACAAATGCTTGTTCTAATGTTTTCTAGGAAAATTAATTTTTACTTTGATATCTTTTATAGTTAAGTTCAAAGTGTTCTCTTCATCACTGGTTTAGTACTTTATATCATAGTATTCCTCTTAAACTACACATATATTAAAGTCCATCATCTGTAGTCCACAAAATGTATGCTAAGATTTTGTTTTATACTGTGCTCACACTTAGGGAAAATACTAAATCTGTACTTACCAGTTTATAAAGGATATAAAGTTGTGTTTTAATTAGTAATTTCTAATCTATTAAAGGCTTCAAAGATATATGATTTTCACTGACCTTTTTTTGAAGCAGGATCAGTATCCTTAGGAACAGGAAATGGGGAAGGCTATCTTATAAAAGTTGGGGTAATTTTATGACTGAATTATTGACAAAGGTTCTTCAAACTCACTTTTGTCTCCCTTATTGAAGAGTATTAATAAATGATTTGTTTGGTAATTATGTATGCATTTCATAATTCTTGTATTTTTCCAAGACTTAGAAGAAAAAACAGCTCTTTACTCAATGATAAGGTGTAAGCCTTTACATGATTTTGTTTTTTGTCTAAAATAGGTCCACTAACAAAATACCAAAAATGATTTTTTTCCCAAAAGAAAATATAGTAAATATAACCAATACCTTCTATGTTTGAGAACAGTTGAGAGTTTTTGACTGAGTTTATTCACCAAGTTACTTAAGATGCTTGATCAGTTTGTGGCATACCTGAGTTCTTGCTTTAATTCTCTCTATATTTTATATTCTGTAGTTTAAGCATTCCAGACCAAAGAAGCCAAAAAGTGTAAGAATTTATGAATCTCATGTGGGAATTTCTTCCCATGAAGGAAAAATAGCTTCTTATAAACATTTTACTTGCAATGTACTACCAAGAATCAAAGACCTTGGTAAGTAATAACTGTGATTTTTATTCAGATAAAATTTTAATGAGTCTGTTCTCTTATTAGAAAAGCTAATTACATGTGTCTCTTTTTTGTGTTGAGAGATTAAGTATGTAATAGAAATGCATTTTATTTTAGGCTTCTCAAATTGCCCTGTAATAGTGATAGCGTAGGAAAGAGAAATGGAATAAGATAGAGCATAAGAATTTAAGATATTATTCCAATTTCAATTTTAAGTAATGTGAACTGATGACTTCCAAAATTGTAGATAAATACGTAAGCATAATTACTTTTCTGCAGGAGATAACCTTTATCAATTGAAGCGGTCATTGATCATAGCCTGTTCATTTTAGTCTGTTATGGAAGAAATCTTACATTTGTAAAGTACCTGGAACTCAATTTGCACCAGAGCATTGTATAAAGTCCATCTGGATGACTTACTTAATGCACATTTGTGGAACATCTTCTGTGAGACACATTGTGATAGATGTTCATGTATTGGAGTAGAATGACACTAACTCTGCCTTCATGGGAACAAGTAGGAGAATAAGTCGCATATTGCTGCATTATTGATTCAGTATGCATTGTTTCTGTTCTTTTTCTTTCTAAAGGTAATGCTTTAAAAAAATCACAGTGTATGTAGCACCTGTTCCATTGTCTAGACAGGAAGATAAAATACATTTAATTATACTGCTTTTGCTAGGCACTCCAGATTTTTGCTAGAGGAAAGGCATGCAAGTCAGAGTAAAAGTTTTTGGTTAGATATAGATCTTAATTATCTGTTATGGTTAAATAAAATTTTCAGACACCCCAATTAAGTAAATGCATGGAGAATTTGATGTTAGTTATATTTAATATACACTGTATTAATTTTTTTATTGAATATGTCTCTCACATTATAGAGTTACAAATTAGTGTTGACCTAGTTTTTATAGAAGGTTCAACAGCACAAGGATTCTTTTATTCACCTTTGTGTCTGAATTGCCTAGCTGAATACTTAGAACATAAATGATTACAGGTGTAATTAATAATACAAATTATGTTAAAACTATAAATTGGTATTTGATCACAAGAATAATATTTATTTTTTATAAAACAAACTATTTTGTTATATTATATGTAGTAATTGACTTGTAAAATCTGAAGAAGATTTTATATTTCTATTTTTGTAAGGCCTGGAAGACTCAATTTTATTTTTTAAAATGATAAACCAATAGCAGTGACTTTTCAGTAGATTGTAAAATCATGGAGAAGCAAGTACTCTTCTTTAGATGTATAAATCCTGAATTCTGATTGTTAAGTTTTGATTGTTCCATTATTAATGATATAATGAAATAAATGCATTAGAAACTACATGATTTCAACCACTAGAAATGAAACTAATTTTCACTTTTGTTTACAAATATACTTATGTATTTAAATGAAATAGTAATGAATATATAAATTTATATAACCTTTAAGAAAATTATAAAGCTTGTATGAGTTGGACATTGAGTTTACAATAAGAAAAGTTTCTATGTATGTCACAGAATTGACATACATAGAAATGGATCTTTGAAATACAATATCTTCCTTTTTGAGTCACTTCATTTTACTGTCAGTGCAAAACGTTTGGATGGAGAGGGAAGTGTTATACGCCTATGTTGGTGTGTATGCATGCATGCACACTTGCATGGAGTACTTTTATATGTGTGAAAAATAGTATTAAAGCTAGCTGTATGAAAGCTACTTTGTAAAAAAAAAGATTGTGATATTTTTATACTAAATAGTAAAAATGGCTGAAATATATAGAAAAGGCAAAATAAGAAGCATATGTCATGAAATCAGTTACTTTTGTTTAATTTTCATAATCTTCAATATGGATATTACAAGTACAGTTGAAGTTTAGCATATGCAGATTGCCATATTTAATATTCTAAAGCCAAATTTAGAGTAGATTTGCATACCATTTATTGCTTATTAAAATGAAGACATTTCAAATAGCTAGCCAGTGTATAGTTCTTAAGAAACTAAAAGTTCAGTTTTTTGTTAGGAGACCAGACAAGCAAATGATGTTTAGTAGTAGAACTTTCTAGATGATCAAAGGTTCCAGATTACTTGTAAAATTTAGGACCTTAAAACAGAATGCCTTTTTCGTGTTTTTAAATGTGTATCTGAATCCCTATTTGACCTTTGCTTACATAGGATACAACTGTATTCAATTGATGGCAATCATGGAGCATGCTTACTATGCCAGTTTTGGGTACCAAATCACAAGCTTTTTTGCAGCTTCAAGGTAAAAATGGAAGTCTTTGTATTTTTATATGGATCAAAAATAAAAATGAATTTTAATAATTTACATGTTTTAGAAACTATTTCAGCATTAACATAGTTAATAGAAGTTGAATATCTATCCTTACAGGTTGTCCCTGATATCACTTTTTATGGCATGACTTCTGAAACTGGTACATGTTTGGTGGCCCATGCTTTAGTCAGAAAATTTTCTCCTGTTGAAAGAGCTTCCATCCTTTCTGGAAAGATATTGACTCATATAGGAAGGTTACTGAGGAGGCCCTTGGTAGGACATAGTCACAGAAACTCTGCCTTTTTCTGACTGAAATCTAAGAAATGTGGGTCTTTGGGTAGAAAGATATTCAGGAATTCCATGTATTGCAACATTCTGACATGGATGACTACAAATTTAACTAGTCTAACATTGTCTGTGTTTCACTTAGTTTACAGTGTAGTGATATATAGACATTAATAATCATAAATATTGTGATTTCCACTGTTAGAGCTTAGAAGAAAATGGTGTTATAAAAGCATAGAATTAGGGTCTGAACAGCTTAGATTAGATCTTAACTGATGTTGATACTGAGATCTAAAACATGGTTAAGATAAGTTGGGGGGAAAAGTGAAATCTGCTTAAGTAGGTAACATAGGACAGGAAAAAAAAAGATACTTATTCATTCTCTTTAAAGAGTTCTGCTTTTGGGCTGGGGATGTGGCTCAAGCGGTAGCGAGATCGCCTGGCATGCATTCGGCCTGGGTTCGATCCTCAGCATCACATACAAACAAAGATGTTGTTTCCGCCAGTAACTAAAAATAAATAAATAAATAAATATTAAAATTCTCTCTCTCTCTCTTCTCTCTCTCTCTAAAAGAAGTTCTGCTTGAATAAGTTTTCTGTATTTACAATCTCTAAACCCTCCATTCCTATTCTAGATCCTTTTTTCGGGGGGGCGGGGTACTGAAAGTCGAACCCAAGGATGTATTATCATTGATCTACAACCCTCGCCCTTTAGAAAATTTAAAAATTTTCAGACAAGGTTTTATGAAGTTACTGAGTTGGCCTTGAATCTATTTTTTTTTAAGTCTTAGCTGGGAATACAGGTGTGCACGACCACACCTGATCCATTTTTTTCTTGAACTCTTTCTACCTTTTTACAGAAAGTTTTTGTTAAGAGTACTGATGACCTTTACATTGTTAAGTATGTAGTCAGTTTACTTGAACTTTTGGCACCATTTTGCACAATTGCATACTTCCACTTTCTTATAGGTATTTTCTTTTCTTGACTTCCAGAACATCTTGCTGTTGTATTTCCCACGCCACTTGTTGCTTTTTTAATTTCTTTGCTTTCTCCTCTTTATCACTTGTACCATCAAATTTTGGTACTACTGCTCAGCTCTTGCTTCCATTCTGTTCTGTATCTTTCCCTTCTTATAGCTTTAATATGCTTTCTGTGCAACTCTCAAGATTTAGGTCTCAGTTTTTGACCTCTCTTGTGAATGTCAGCCAGTGTCTATTTAATTCTGGAATAGCTAATACATATCCCAAGCTTAATGTATGCAAAATTAAAATTGTGAACTTATCTTTCAACTCCCTTTTCCTGCCATTTTCTCTAATTTGGTAAATGATGTTTTTCATCTTCTAGTTGTTCAAGCCAAAATCTTGGCATTATACTTGACTATTCCATTTCTGTCCCTCCCTACACTCTATCCTAAAACCTAACCATCTGTTGCTTCAAAATCTCTCCCAAATCTGGCTGCTCATCTGCCACCATTGCTACCACCCTGGTACAAATTGCTATTCTCTTTTGCTTGTATTATTTCAATAGCTCTTTAACTGGTCACTCTATTTATCCTTGTTTTCCTTCTCCACTAATTTTCCCCCAATTCCATGACCAGAGCAGTCATTAAAAAATGAACATCAGATCCTATCACTGTACTGCCCAGGACTCTATGATAGCTCCCTATCTCTTTCAGAATGATACTCAAAGGTACTCATCTTGTTTTTTGATGATTCTTTTATTATTATTGTTGTTGTTCATTAGTGCATTGTATTATACATAATAGTGGGGCTCATTTTGACATATTTGTAAATGTATATAACATAGAATTCTTCATTTTAGTTCCCAGTACTACTCCCTTTTCTCCCCACACCCCTTTGATTTCCTTCCTTACTCAATTGGTCTTCTGTTTGTATTTTCATTGATACATTATAGTTTTATATAAAATTGGAATGCGTTGTGGTGTATTCCTATATGCACCTAGCATAATTTTATTAACTCTGCTCTTTCTCTCTCAACAATTCCACTGAGGCTACACTAGCCTATTTGTTCTTCAGGCACTCTTAGTTCATTCCTGCCCCTGTGCCCTTCTACCTATTACTCCTTCTTCTCTGTAAATTGTTCTCCTTTTTCCTTTCTTTCTTAAATATTGCTTTTCCTCTAAAACTTCATCTGCAAACTCTACTTAAAATGGAAAACCTGTCCCTTTTACCAGTGGCTTTTCTTTATTTTTCTTTAAAACACTTATTGCTATGTGACATTCTATGTGTTTTGCTTATTTATTTGTATTCTAGTTAGAATGTAAATTTCATAAGGACAATGATTTTTATTTTGCCCACTGCTGTATCTCTAGAGCATAGAACATTTCATGACACATGGCAGATAACTTTGGTAAGCATTTTGCCAACAAATAAATGCATGAATAACTGAAAGTTTAAGGATGTTCATTTACTGAACACGTTTTTCAGTACTGGGAAAAAGGCTATATTGCTGGGATAATGAAAGGGAGAGGTAGGATATCACAAGATAATCTAACATGCTAGAAGGGACCAAAATAGGCTGTGTAGTAGGCCATAATAACAGGGGGATGGGAATGGGAAAGATAGTAGAATCAATCAGACATGACTTTCCTTTGTTCAGTGTAGCTCCACCTCATATAGAAACGCCAATGGAAAGTTATATTCCATGTATTGTAATATGTCCAAATACATTCTTCTGTCATGTATAACTAAAAATAACACAATTAAAAAAAGGGAGAGGGGAGAACAGTAGTCTTCATCCTGAGGACAGTGGGAGCACAGTAGGTTTTTAATAGACAAAAAATGATCATATTTATTTTTTGAAAAGATGACACTTGCTACTCAATGGAGTTGACTAGAGGAAACTTGGTATTTACTAAAGCCTGTACTGAACCATGAAAGGCCAGATGGCCATAGCCCCTACTTCAAGGCCATAAACAATAACAAAGGCAAATATTTATTTAAGAGGTAAAGTTGGTGTTATAAAAGACTGTAGTATCAAACCATAGCATAAGTTAAGAATGGCTTTCTTCTGGAAGTGATTTTTCTGTTACATGTAGACTAGGTCATTGTTTTAAACATAGACACACATGCATGTGATCTATCCATCTTTTCTGCTTGAGTGGTGACTAACATTACACTTTCCCTTGGTACACTGGTACCTGAAGAAGGCATTCCAGTTTGGGAACAAGTTCTGGAGGGCTGGCTTTAATTAAGACACTATAGACATAAAAAGAAATACTCAGATAGCCCCGCATTCCCTATTCAACTGTACATATTTAAAGGAATGGGCAGATATGTGAGTGTGAATAACCATGACTGGCTAGGCTGGAAAATGAAAATCAGAATATTTGAAGATAATCTTAACTATTTTGCATGCTCAAAATGTTCATTTTGGTTAGTGTATAATTCTGTTAATATCATGATTTAAATTAATATTATTTCCCTCAACATTTTCTTAATAACAAATACTAAGCAATTTTGATTTGTATGTGTCAAGTACTATGGTGTTTGCATATTTAAAGTATCTAGTACTATGCACAATTGACTATTTGTGGCTGTAGCTGTAGCACTTAGCCAGCACTGGAGGCTCTAGGTTTAATCCCCAGTACTGCAAAACAACAACAACAGTAATAAAGCAATTGGCTATTTGTTTTAAATATAATGTCATATTTTTCTGTGTCCTTTAGTCGTTATGGAACACCCGAAGAACTAAAAGAACTAGTTGATACAGCTCATTCAATGGGGATCACAGTCCTCTTAGATGTGGTACACAGCCATGCTTCAAAAAATTCAGAAGATGGATTGAATATGTTTGATGGAACTGATTCTTGTTATTTTCATTCTGGACCTAGAGGGACTCATGATCTTTGGGACAGTAAATTGTTTGCCTATTCCAAGTAAGTACACATAATATGGAAACGTATTCTTTGTTTAAAATGGATTTCAAGAGATTCACTAAATTCATTTTGTGTGTGCTTTCTCATTATTATTTAATGTTCTTATTGTCATTTTATAAAAATTACATGAGGAAATTTAGCTGAGGTGGTGGCCACACCTGCAATCCCAATGACTTGGTAGGCTGAGGTAGGCGGATTGTTAGTTCAAAGCCAGCCTTAGCAACTTAGTGAGACCCTGCCTCAAACAAAAAATAAAAAGGTTTGGTGAAATGGCTCAGTGATAAAAACACCTCTAGGTTCAATTCCCAATACCCCACCCAAAAAGAGGAATTTTGCCTTTGTATAGCATATGTACTCATGATAAGTTATGTTAAATTTCAATATAAATCATATATTTTATCCCATTTAAAATATACACTTTATAATGTTAATTGTTTTTGAATACCAAAAGATAATTACATTAGGTTGACTTAATCATGACAAATTTACTGCAGTTTTCAGTAGGCCATGCTTTATATTTCAATATCTTAATTATATTATCATGATTTTTATTACAGATAAAAGATTAATTTATATCTATAATGACATTTAACATTTATCAGTACATACTCTTTGCCAGTATAGACTCAGGTTTAGTGTTGAAACAGTGTATTAAGTTTAAACACAATTCTAATTTTTTTGACCAACTTAATAGAAGGGTATTTTAGGTGATCAAATTTAAATAGCATATTACAAAAATTTAAAAGAAAACCCCAAATACTTTTAAATAATATTTATTATTCATCATAAGTGAAAATGTCACTTATATTTGAACAAGCAAAGTTCTGATTAATGTATAAGTTGAAAATCTGTTTATCTGAAAGTCTAAAATCTGAAATCCTCCAAAGTCAGAAATTGTTTGAGTACTGATATGATACTACAAGTGAAAAATTTCACACCCAACTCTTGCATTCATGCTAAAAGTATTGTATAAGATTAGATTCAGACTATGTGTATAAAATAGGTAAATGTGCAACAGACTAATTTTGTATTTCATTTTGAGTCTCATTCCCAAGATATCTCATTTTCTATATTGAAATTTTCTAAAGTCCCCCAAAACAGGAAATGTGGAATACTTCTGTCCTAAGCCTTTTGGATAAGGGATACTCAACCTATAAAACTAATTTTTAAAATAAATGTTCTTAAAAAGTTTAATGTATTATCTTTTGAATATTGTATTATACATAAACCATACACATGCCCAGAAAATAGGCAGTATAGAAAAATTCTTCAGAAATGCTTTTGTAAAATGAAGAATTCCAATTTTTCAACATAAATTTGAAGACTTTCATATGTTTTTGCTGCACTCTTTTCTTAATATTATACATTATTTTGTATTTCATTACCATATAGAAATCATTCATGTCAATTGAGGCAGCATAATATATGAGAAAAGACACAAGAGGGTGTCAGGTTTCCAGGCCTTGCTTTTAGTCTGGTACAAATCAATTAATCATTCTTATTCTCAGGTATTTCATTAGAAGAGGAGTTAAAGTTTGAAGCTAATATAATTCTGTGAAGGTATTTTTTATTTGTTTTACCTTTTTGAACATTCTATTTTATGCTATAAATCTACAAGAAGTAAAAAGGACTGAACCTTGCTAATTTTGTGATTATTGAGTAAATCTTATAAAAGTAGAATGTGTGTAAGAAGTGCAATTAATTGAACTCTCTGGTTCACTTTTGGATGAATTATGATTGATTTATCCTTTCAAACTGAACCTTTCAAGGGCTGGGGATGTGGCTCAAGTGGTAGCATGCTCGTCTGGCATGCGTGCGGCCCAGGTTCAATCCTCAGCACCACATACAAAGAAAGATGTTGTGTCCGCCGAAAACTAAAAAATAAATACTAAAAATTCTCTCTCTCTCTCTTAAAAAAAACTGAACCTTTCAAAATGCATATAGTAAATGGTATATTTTAATGTTTCAAAATAATTCTTCTAATTAATTACTCATTAAATAAGAAATACACAAAATGGGTAGATTATTACATTTTAAAACAATTTTTAGTTTATAAAGATATTTATTATAATGTTTTCTGTACAATGAGACCTCAAAAGAGTACATTTAAAGTTATCTGATTTAAAGGGCTTATAGATAATTATTTTCAAGAACATTTCTGTTATAGAAATTGGACAAATTTAACAGTTATTTAATACTTAGTTTCCCTTTTATTGAATTGACTACTTTCTCAGATGTACACTTTTGGTAAATAAAATGTATTCTAGTTTTAATGTATGATGTTGCTATTTTTTTCTTCTGGTATTGGGGATGAAACTCATCCTAGGCAATTGCTGTACCACAGAGTTACATCCCAAATCCTGATTATTTTTTCATGTTGTTTGTGTGTCTACCCATCTAGCAGCATGGATCTGATGCAGTTTAGTTTCTAAGCTGTAAACTTATAGTGTCCCTGAAACTCAACAGTACCTTGCCATTAACGGGAAGACAAATAATAATAGCAATGCAAACATTATACAGCCTTAAATGAAGCAGGTCCTGCTTCGAAGCCTACAGTTTTGTCACAACAAATAGACATGATATATTCAGTTATTGCCTACAATAAAAATAGTAAGCTTACAGAAGTGTTTACAATTTTGAATGGTGGACAAAGAACAAATGTGGTGTAGGATGTGATGATTATGAGGAAGGAGGAGAGAAGATAGAAGGAAAAAATTAAAGGATGAGTGAAAAAGGCAACAATAATTTGGATGTTAGCAGGAGAAAAAAGAAAGATTGATACAGATAAGTGAGAGAAAAAAATATAAAGTAGAAATTTTAAAAAATTAAAAGTAGAAAAATGTCAAAAGAATACAAAACAAAACTGAAATATACTAATCAGACATCCTAGTCCTCTATAAACTGATCCATGAAAAATATTTTGGATGAAAAGTTGAAGAATTGGTTTTCTCTTGGAGATAAAAAGTTGTTTGGCTTCCCTTCTCCAGTGTTAGGTCTGGAGTGTGATGCTTTCTTCACTCTCAGGGTGGGGTTGCTAGGGTTTGAGGTTTAATCCTGGAGATGGAACTCCTGGGGGCAGTGTTTAGGCTTATGTGTGCTCTAGGCTCTTTGCCAAATGCCAGTTGGTCTGAAGATTTTAAATCTGTCACCTCCAGGTTCCAGCAATTCTAGTCCATGCTGTAAGACTGCACCCCAGGAATCTCCTTTGGGTTACACTAGTGGTGGGAGAGCCAATTCTTAGTCTACTATGTCACCTGTGGACCCCATAATTCCTGGTCACAGATTTTATCTCCAGACTCAATATCTCCAGCCCCCTCTTTTTCAAATTCCTAGTCAGGGCTTCTCTTCCCGCTGGTCCTACAAACAGCCAGATTAGAGGGGTCAGGGAAGCTAGGTGGTTTTCCATGATCAGTATTCCCCTGTGTAAACCTCTTTCCCTTCTTGATTTTCTCATGGTCACTTAGACACAGTCTCTGTCATGCAATGTGGGTTTGCCAGGCTTGTTTTTTGGGCCAGACTCTGATTTGTAAGAAATCATCTCTTCTGGCTTTCCTCCCATTGTATCATGGCTGCAAAATGATTCCTTCCTCTTTCCTCCTCATACTGCCAGGAGTGATGCGGATTTGCATCTTATAGTTTAGTCCAGCAGTGTCTTTGATCTCTAAACTCTTCAGACCTAGACACACCTCTGTCCTCCCCAAAATGGGGGTTCCTTTAATTCCCTTATTGCTTTACTGTGTTAATGGAGGGACTGTTCTGGCTGTGCCTCTGGCAGCGGCCGCAGCTTCGCACTGGAAATTTCTTCTTTAGTTTATTATATTTGATCTCCTGAGTCCTTGATCTGTTTTGAGTATCCAATTTTAATTTCCAGTAAAGTCCCTCCTAATTTTTTGTTCATTCAACCACCTTGCTGGGAAGCTGCCTTTCTGCTTTTCTTGGTTTTATAGCATGAAGCAGCCGCAGAAGTGACCTTTCTATTCGACCATCTTTAGCCTTCCTCTGTTATTTGTTATTTTTAGCTATACATGAGAGTAGAATGTATTTTGATATACATATATCGAGTATACCTTTTCATTCTTGTGGTTACACATGATATGGAGTTAAACATTGGTTGTCTACTCATATGTGAACATAGGAAAGTTATGTCTGATTCATTTTACTTTCTTTCTTATTATCATTCCCACTCCAAAGTACTTCTATCCCTGCCACACCCACCCCATTGTGTGTTAGCATCCACATAGGAGAGAGTATATTTGGCCTTTGGTTTTTTTGAGATTGGCTTATTTTACTTAGCATGATAGGCTTAAGTTCCATCTATTTATAGGCAAATGCTATAATTTCATTCTTTTTTTGTGGCTGAGTAAAATTCTATTGTGTATATATACCACATTTTCTTTATCCATTTATCTTTTAGAGGGTACCTATGTTGGTTCCAGATCTTAGCTATTGTGAATTGAGCTGCTGTAAACATTGATGTGGCTGCATCACTATAGTATGCGGATTTTAAGTTCTTTGGGTATAAACCGAGGAGTGGGATAACTGGGGTCAAATGATGGGTCCATTCCAGGTGTTCTGAGGAATCTCCATACTGCTTTCCAGAATGGTTGCACAAATTTGCAGTCCCACTAGCAATGTATAAGTGTACCCTTTTTATCACATCCTTGCCAATATTTATTGTTATTTGTATTCTTAATAATTGCCATTCTGATTAGAGTGAGATAGTCTCAGTGTAGTTTAAATATCCAGTTATCTAACTACTAGATATGTTGAACATTTTTTTCATATATTTGTTGACTAATTATATTTCTTCTTCTGTGCAGTGTCTATTCAATTCCTTTGCAAATTTATTAATTGGGCTATTTTTTCCATTGGTGGTGTTTTTGGGTTCTTTTTATATCCTGTATATTAATGCTGTGTCTGAGGTATAGATAGCAAATATTTTCTCCCATTCTGTAAATTCTGTGTTCATGTTCATGATTGTTTCCTTTTTTTGTGAGGAA